GACATCACAAAAAAGTACTGTCAAAGGTGTCCCTTTAAATTCCTTTTGTACCCTGATTATCCATTTTTACTGTCCCCCAGCAGTTGCAAAGTTGTTCTGTTGCTTTATCTCTTTCATGGATTCCAAGCAAAGAAGAGCTATTTGAAGATAATGCAAGTAGTAACTATGCATTTTATAATGCTCTATGTCTTATTAAAGACTTTTATATAAAAAGACTTTTATATAGATTATGTTGTTTGATCTTCACAATTCTCCTATAAAGTTTAACCTACTGGGAAGTCTGTGTGTCAATTTAGAACCCACTAATAAAGTCCCTAAATTAACAACCACTTTTTAAGAACAGACTATATGAGGTACTTTTATAGAAAATTATTCCTAACACTTGCAACTGTGCAAGCTGTCCAGACAGCAAATATAGTCAACTTCAGAATGTTGAAAGTGTCTGTAGAAAATTTATTAAAATGTATACCATAAAGTTACATTAGAATGAAAGATTAACTATTTCATAAAGTATGTTAGCTTCTATATAGATTTATTATGACTCTTACAAAAAGTGATGATATTGTGAACTAGAAGTCTTCATAATCCTGCTAATGGGAAGGGAGGGAAGACAACGATAATATGTATACAACTCCCTAAATTGTTGTTCAAAAATAAGGTGTTTTTCTTTGAGATTTCCCTACCATATCTGAAAATAATTATATTTTCCCTGAGATACCTAAGGTTACATTTAAATTTTGATAATTCAACAGAATTTACAGGCTGTAAAGATAGTAATTCATTTGGAACCCAACAGAAGAAGTACTGAAATGCTCTCATTCTTACAGACTTCTCTTGTTCCAGCTGCATCAGCTACTGACTTGACAGGTAGTTTCTATGGGACTCAGACATGTCCATCATGTTGGCCTCTATGATGTCCTCATGGTTTAGGTCACTTGCTAGGTTACATTTTACTGAATCTATCACACAGCTTTGTTTTGGAGGGAGCCATAAGTTTTCTGATCACTCATGGGACAGATCATCATCCACAAAGCATTATTTGTTAGTGAACAGACTCACTGCCAAGACTAGGCACTGGCCCAGGCCATCCATGATACTGCAGACTCATTAAAGTATAGACTTACCGGCTTCATTAGGCTTCATTAGGTCACCACAGGAGCTCATCAGAAGATCTATATTGGTCTTAAACGTAGCATTCACATCTTAGTCATTCTACTGGCTATGAAACGGTATCTCTCAGATTATCACGTAGAGTACCTGCATTTACAAGCTGGCCAGCGAATTATTTATCTGGGGCATGGAACCTCTGAACAAAAGAGCAGGAAATGTAAGTGAGCCATCCTTAAGGACGGTTTATCATGGCCATGACCTTTGTGCCAGGTGGACCACGGCTGTCAGGTTAGCTCAGTAGCAGGCCCCAGGAGCCCGGGGATTTTCAGAGTAGCAGACAAGTCAACACCTCAATTTAAAATCATCTCCAGTGTGGCCGCAAGTGATATGTGGCTGCTTTAACCTGTGAGACTACTTTCTTCCACAAGAAGAAAAGTCTTTTTCAGGCAGTCCTCCCAAGAAAGCAAAGCCTTGTCAGCTGGAAAAGTTTCTTTCAATAAGAGAAACCACCAGTTCAGGACACTTTGAGATTTGTATACGTCAGAACTGCCAACTTCCTTGGTCATCCCTTTCCTGGATTCTTAAAAAGCATCCTCTTTTGGCCACTAGCAATCTCCATTTTAAAATAATGATGTCTTCAGACTGAGTCCCTAATCATCAGGGTGCTGACAGGTCATGGTGTCTGATGCCGTAATTCCTGTTTTTTATCCTATGCCCACACATACTCAGCAGGTTGTCATCAAATATTTTTTGTAATCAATCAATTTACTAGCACTTAAAGGTACACATTCTGGACAATGATTATAGAAGTGTTATTATATTTTAATTCTGTGAATCAGAATGTGAAGGGAATGACTGCAAGTACTGCTATTCAGACAAGTCTTAATCGTCTTAATCAAATTGCTCTAAAACTTCAGATGTTACATTTAACTTATTGACAACCACTTTTCATTTGTACCTTTGGTATCCGTCACAGCTTGGCATCTTTCCACGGATTTTTAAGCAAAACCATGCAGCTGGTGTGAATGAACACTCCCAAAAAGCACACTTGCAGACCTTAAAGGGATTTTTCTTTTGTAGTTTTTCCTTCAGCCCACCTTGGCCTCTAGGTTTCCTGTCTACTCAGAAAAAAAAAAAAGGCATATACTTTAAAAAAAAAAAAAAGGCTGAATCAACAAAATAAAGTGGGATCTGAGGGGAGCAGAAATAAAGAAGTAGGGAGGATAAACTTTCCCAGGTATAAGCTGCCTGGAGAAGTGAAATTCCAGGATCCAAGTGGAAAAAGATGGCCACCTGTCTGTTTCAAGTGTTTGAAGTCACACCGAGTCAACCCAAAGATGTGCTGTTGATGGTTCTGGCTACCTAAGCTCCTTTGCCTCTCTGGCAGCTCACCTCCCTTGCAAAACTGAAAGCCCAGAGCTCAGGGTCTTTTCAAAGACTGAAAACAATAAAGTATCATGAAAAAAACTGGAAATCCACTTGGAATGACAAAGCCATTTGAACGATACTTAAACACATTAAAACACTGTAAGTTTAAAAACACTGAAAGACATACAAACACAAAGGCAAATGTAAACGTTCTGAAAATTGGCCTCATGTTGTACGCTACTTACAACAAAGGCACAATGGTTTCCATAGAAAGAGATACCATGGTTTCCCAAACCTATTTCCAAGAGGACCAAACACAACAAAATTAGTTCATCATTAGAAATCACTTATGTGGGGTGTTGGGCCATCTTTCTATCACTTCCTGTTAGCTTTTTTTTTTTTTTTTTTGGCCAGGCAAAGTTAGACAGTGAGAGAGAGAGATAGAGAGTTATAGACAGTGAGACAGAGACAAAGAGAAAGGTCTTCCTTCTGTTGGTTCATTCCCCTAATGGCCACTAAGGCTGGCACTATGCCGATCCAAAGCCAGGAGCTGGGTACTTCCTCCTGGTCTCCCATGCGGGTGCAGGGACCCAAGCACTTTAGGCCATCCTCTGCTGCCCTCCTGGGCCACAGCAGAGAGCTGGACTGGAAGAGGGGCAACCGGGACTAGAACCCAGGGTTCCGGCACCGCAGGCCAAGTGAGTCACGGCACCAGCCTCCAGTTAGCTTTTTGACCCTTAACTGTTTGAGTGTTGGGTCTTCAGCAAGATTCCAGAATTATGGACTTATTTGTTTGTTTTTAATTTTTGATGGCAGAGTGGACAGTGTGAGAGAGAGACAGAGAGAAAGGTCTTCCTTTTGCTGTTGGTTCACCCTCCAATGGCCGCCATGGCCGGCGCGCTGTGGCCGGCGCACCGCGCTGATCCGAAGCCAGGAGCCAGGTGCTTCTCCTGGTCTCCCATGGGGTGCAGGGCCCAAGCACTTGGGCCATCCTCCACTGCACTCCCTGGCCACAGCAGAGAGCTGGCCTGGAAGAGGCGCAACTGGGACAGAATCCGGCACCCCGACCGCGACTAGAACCTGGTGTGCCGGCGCCGCAGGCGGAGGATTAGCCTATTGAGCCGTGGCGCTGGCCAGAATTATGGACTTATAAAATAGGAGAATGCTTTGTAGTCTGGTTTAAACTGATCGTTCATTTAATATGCTGAAATAAATGTTCAAATATCAAATATATGGTAAGTCAAACAGACATGGATACAAACAAAAGCAAGTCATGCTTTTCCATGTATATCTCTAATACAAAATATTTATGTGTGTGTTAGTAACACTGGCAATGGCATACTTGATGTGTTTATATGCAGTGCACCTGAAGCCTCTGCAAGATTGGGTCAGCCCTTTAGATAAGTTACAATCTCATCTTCATGGGTGTCATAAAGCATCTGTGTTGTCTCTAAGAGTAAGTACCCAAAGCAAATGGTAAAGGTTCACTGAAGACATCTTGAAGATTGACCCTCCTTGAAATACTCACTCAATGCCATTTCCCCCTGCATCTGGATAAACTGAGAACTGTGAGGTCTAAAATATTATACAAGCATGTCTTTCTCCTATTCCACTACAAGGCTTCAGTAAATTCTTAATTCTTTATGGCCTATTGGGACTTTAAAAAAGGAAAAACAACCTTCTGCCAAACCTGGCTCTGGAATCAGATGGATGTGGGAGTGGATTTTGCAACGCACAGAAAATAGAGTCCCATTGTCTGGAATGTGGGGCTGGTGAGACTTTTGATTTCATATGCATAGCATGACTGTCAGAGCTTTCCATATGTACGGATGATAACTATGTTTGCACGGGTATAGCATTATAGAATAGAAAATGCACAAAATTCAAAGCTAAGAAAATAGAAAAGTAAAAATCTTTGTGACACACTGATCCTTTCTTACTTTTCACTCCATACACGAATTTTTCCAGATATAAAGTCACCTATTATTCAAACTCAGGTAGAAGGTAGTTTGGGCGTGCCACTCCTTACCCCTTTCTCCAGTGGTTGGCAAACACTAATGAGCATTCTTACAAGTTCATTTACTGAAGGGGAAATTTTTTTTTTAGGGACCCAGGTTTTCATTCTAAAATGCAAAGATGACAATGACTGTTCCATTAAGAAATCCACATGCAGCCTGTGACCTGCTTAAGGGGGAAACATTTCCTCTGAGTCTAAATCAAGTTAGCAAATTTAAAATACCTGGGAGGGTTGGGTGCCTTGAACTTTTGGCAGAAGTCCAAAGCTAAATGAGCGAATGTATTATTTCACTTTGTTTCTTTATGAGAAAAAAAAAAAAAAAAAAAAACATGGCTGCCAAGCCCAGCTCAGGAATCAGAAGGGGAGGAGAGCAACATACGGCCCATTGATAAAGCAAGGTACAGATGAATATACAGAATCTTTCTCACATGAGCCTTTCCTTTAACCAGAATGCAAGGCCTAAAGAGAACGGTAGTGTGGATGGCTCAGCCTTTGCTGTGGTTACCTGAATAGAGGTCAGGCCCGGGCCCTGGGGAGCATCCCACAGTGCCATCAGCAGCAGCGTCTCGTGGGGAAGTGGCCGGCTGCAGGGGCTGCACGGTGAGGCAGTCTGTGAGCAGGTCTGGATGCAGTTCTGTGCTGGACCGCAGCTAAGAGAAGGAGAAAACAAGAGAGATGGAGAAGGAAAGCTGGTCCTTGGCCTACTTGCCTGGAAAAGGTATCATGCCCTAAGGCTCGATGCAATTCAATCCACAAATATTTATCAAGCAGCCAAAATGGGCTAGGCATGGAGCTAACAGTGTAAAGGGTCAGTTCTCCAATGCTGATAATACTTGGCAGGTGCTTCAGGAAAAAGTGGCTAGAGGCGGATTTGACTTCAGGTCTTGATATTTCCACTTCTGAGAACCAACTTCCTACTATATTTCCATTTATTTGCTCTGTATCTTATCAGAACTTGTAATGATAATGAAAACAAACTCAAGCAGATTTAGCTCATATTGGAAAGTGCTTTTAAAATATAGAGATACTGTCATGAAAATATCCTGGAGATAATTATGAAATGCCAACTGAGAATTTAACTCCTATAGATTTTTACAGGAGAGGAAAATACTCAAGTTAAATTTTCAAATATTATAGAACATGATGAAAAGAAAATCCGATGTCATTAACAGTAAAAAAGAAACCCAACAGTATGTTCCATGAAAACAAAACAATTGAAATCTGGTTTATCATATAGAACAAAATTCTTTATATATAAAAGTTACATTTGAAAAACCAAATCATATAAATGTTAGAACAAGGTAGAGGTGAAAAGTTACATGACCTCCTTACGAGTAAAAATCTTTTAGGTATATTTAGAATGGAAAACCACTGTGGAAGATTCAGTGACATAAAAACATTAACTTTCTGTTTGTACAAAAATATACCTTAAAACAATCTATAAATACATCTGTTATAAGTATTATAGATACCTATAATCTGGTATTTAAAAACAGTGTATAAATGAATGGTATAAAGATAACACTAAACCTTTAGATGCAGATCTGTAGTATACATACGTACTCCGTCAACACATACTTATTCAGTACCACACACTCCTCTAAACTCTAGGATTAACAACTGCCTTGCTGGAACTTATATTCTGGGTGGATAAGCAGATGCCAAACAAATCCAACATAGACTTGTACAGCATCAGAGGCTGATACAGGCTATGGGGAAAAGCTGCTGCAGAGAAAGGAGACAGTGAGTGGGATGAGCGGAGGAAGCTTTCGATAGGGTGTTAGGGAAAGCCTCTTGGAGATGGCACTGTACAAAGCCTTGAAAGAAGCAGGGGAATGAGCCCTGCAAACTGAGGGGAGTAGCATCTGCCTGCCCAGTGGTGTACGGAGATCGTGTGCAGAGCAGTGCGGCTGGAGTGACGTCAGCCTGGGGCCTCAGGGAGAGACACAGAGGAAACCAGCGATGTAGGAGGCGCAGCTTTGACAGGAGTCGACAGTGTTAGAAAGGAGAAATATAAATGATGATACTTGTGAAGATGTTTGGCACACTTACAAAGAAGTACCATGCTAAAACTGCTTTTCTTATCAAATTACCAAAAATATGAACAGTGAAGCAGTGGCAGTAAAGGCTCAGTGAGAGGCCTCCTTCAACACCACTGGGAGGAGTGTGGATTGGTACAAACTTTCAGATGTTATCTGAGAACAGTTTTCAAGATCCACAATTGAGATAATGCTATTCTGGAATCTGTCCTAAGAGGATAGCTAGAAATGTGAAGGAAGATTTATACCCAAAGAAACATGAGTGTACACAAATCTTTCTCTAATGATACATAGTATTACTTCTAACAATAACATAACAACAAATGTTTGCTAAATGTTTAAATGTCTACAATTAGGGCTAAATACATGATTTTACATTACTTTGATAGAATATATCAAATTAAAATATACCATCAAAATGATACTCATGAACATAAAAGCAAAATATGAAATTATATACACAAAATAAGTTACATAAAAACACACAAGATACCAGAATATAAACTGATTAGAACTGACTTTTGTTAGTAATTGTAATACCATAAATTCATTTCTTCATTTTTTTAAAGATTTACTTATTTTGAAAGCCAGAGTTACAGAGAGAGAGAGAGAGAGCGAGAGCACTCTATCTGTTGGTTCATTCCCCAGATGGCCAGGCAGAAGCCAGGAGCCAGGAGCTCCATCCAGGTCTCCCATATTAGTGGCAAGGGCCCAAACACTTGGGCCACCTTCTGCTGCTCTTTCCAGGGCACTAGCAGGGAGCTGGATAGGAAGTGGAGCAGCCAGGACATGAACTGGTGCCCATATTTTTAATCCTTTCCTCTGCCTTCCAAGTATTCTATATTCTAATGATGTGTTGGAACTAGCTTTCACCAGTCTTGAATGTGCCAATTGTATGCATCTTTTCCAAATGCTGCATGCAATGATGTCAGATTGACAGCTTGAAATTGGTCAAGGTGGAAATATTTACACCATACTGGCGCATGCTAAAACCTGAGGCCTTTTTTTTTTTTTTTTAACTTGGAGAGCAGTTATTAAACATTATCAGCACAGTGGTAGTGGTCAAGACGCTGCCTGGAAGGCTTGCAACCCACACTGAGGTGCCTGGCTTCAAGTCTGCTTCCACTTCTAGCTTCCTGCTAATGCACCCTCTGGGAAGCAGCAGATGATGACTCAAGTACTTGGGTTCCTTCCACCCATGTAGGTGACCTGGATTGAATTCTGGACTCCTGGGTTCAACCTGGCCCAACCTCAGCTGTTACAGGCATTTGGGGAGTGCACTGGGAGATGGAAGCTCTTGCTGTCTCTGCCTTTCAAATAAATAGATATAAATGAGTAAAAATTTAACAAATAGCATACTACTGACAATGACAATGAACTGGGCTCTGATGAGAAAGAAACACACACACGCATACACAAACACATATCCTTCACACACAAACTTACGGATGTTTACAGATCAGTATTTCTTCTATCTCAGAAAGCTTCACAAAAAGACAAACATGCACCCAGCCTTCGTCCAAGAATATGAAACTATCAGTGACCCCTAGGTATAGGGATGGGAGATGTAACACATGTAACAAATGAGATACAATTATAATTTCCTCAGCTGTGGCATATAGGAATCTCTGACCAAGACTGTGTTCATGTCTAACCCTCTCAGGGCCTTTGGAAGGTATGTTTGTTATTTTGGTACTAACCTAACACATGCTGTGCAAGCGAAACTGGAAAAAAATCAAGGCTTAGAATGAGTTCTGGTGATCACTTTTAATTTGTCTTCCATCGTTAAAATGTGATCTGGGGTCCACATGTTCCACTAAGGGCAGACACGAATGCTTCTCTGCTTTCTATTACCAACTACTCTAGGGTTTTACAGTTATCAGTATCAATGAGGTCTTTCCAAGGAATTTCACGGCCATGGTTACTCCTGGCGTCAAAGGCAGGCAATTCTTCCCTAGCTTCAACAAGTGTTCATGTTTTCCAAGAGTGTGATTCCATACGACTTTGTGGTGAGAGTTAATTTGGTTTTCTCTGGGATTAGACATGGTTCTAGAAAGTGCTTCTTAAATTGAACAAGCCTCGAGGACTTAATGGAAAATTTCCAAAGGAATTCCATGTGCATAAAAATGCAGTAATGATGTGCGAGTTGTTTCCCTTCCAGATTATTAGTCCAGAAAAGGGCCTTCCATGTCATGTAAAGGTTTTAAACTGTCTCCAGTCCAGGAATTATCTAATAGGTGAGGTGAGAGGTACACAGCATAATCTGGGAGGGCTATCTTTTAACATAATATAATTTTATACTTGGAAAAAGAAACCCATACCAGGTATATAAACAATTGTATACAACTGTGTATCTCAGCAACATCTCAGATGCTAGGGAAATATAAAGAAGACAGAGGAACATTTTTCAATGGAGGGGGATGGTCTCCAACTGTAGTTCTCAAATCTGGGCATATATCACAACCCCACCCCAGAATAGCTATTACATAGGTTTGTAGTGCATTTCCAAGTTTCCCAAAGAGGAGGATGCTGTTGGCCTGGGGACCCCACTTTTAGAACCACCGATCTCTAAGAATCCTGATGGGGTGAGTTAAGATTTTTCTGGTTATGAGAAGAGGAATTGAACTCTGGAAACAGGGGACTATAAAATACTAATATTCTTTAATGGAGGAACTGAGCTCTTATCTTCTCTGATTAGCTGTGGCTAATAAAAATCTTTCCGAAGCACAGACTTCAAACCTCTAATTAGCGGGTTTTAGGAAAGGCCACTGGGAGGAGAAGATAAGGATAAATGCTAGGAATGTTGGCAAGTCCCTGGATTTGCAAATACTGGGAAAGTAAGTTCAAATCCATGTAGGGGTGAATGGGTCATGCTTCGTATTTTGTCATCATAACTTGACAATTTTTTAGGAAGCCTCCTTGGGACAGCTAAACCTTAAAAGTTTAGTGTTGTCTCCTGTGGAAACTGACCATTGATCCTGGGGCTGTATGCACAAACTCATTATCATAGAAAAGAGAGAGGGAGAGAGGGAGAGAGGGAGAGAGGGAGAGAGGGAGAGAGGGAGAGAGAGAGAGAGAATCTTCCATCCACTAGCTCACTCCCCAAATGGCCCTAACAGTAGTTGCTGGGTTTGCAAAAGCAAAGAGCCTAGAACTCCATCCAGGTCTTGCATGTGGGTGGCAGGGGCCCAAGCACTTAGTCCATCTTCCACTACTTTCCCAGGCACCTTAGCAGGGAGCTGGATTTGAAGCAGAGCAGCCAGGACTTGAACCAGTGGCAATCCCAATATGGGATGCTGGTATCACAAGCAGCAGCTTAAACTACTATGCCACAGTGCTGGCCCCAATTCTTCCAATTTAAAGAGCTACTATATAGAGTGACACTGAGACTTTTATTCCTCCTATAATGCATGGAAATGATGCCCCTGAAATTATTCCACCCACCTGCCCTAACCATGCCCTATGAGTTCTTGAGTAGCATGACCCTTCTTTATTCTTCTCTTGCATTCACTCAACAAACACTTCTCCGGCCTCAACCATATGCCAGAAACAGCCCTATGCACTTGAAATACAAAAGCACTCAAAACAGACAAAGATTCTCTCTGAAGGCT